AATTCAATTCTGCATCACGAGTCCTCTTCTTCTTCTACCCTTCCGCCGAACTAGACCAGACAGGGAGTTCACCGGAATTCGCCGGAGCTTCGCCTGAGTTCGTCACCGGAGTTCTAAACCAGAGTTCTTCGCCCATTGATTTGTGATTCGTCGCCGAACAATCGAGGTGAGTGATTTATCTCCCACTAAAATTAATTCATAGATTAGGATTCGTTAATATGTATTCATTCAATTGAAGTTGAATTTGTAAATATGATTGTTGAAGTTGGGTGAATGATTATGTTGAATTGAGTTGGAATTGGAATCGGGTTTAGAATTGGACACTGGGTTTTTTTTCTGTTTCTTCCTTGCCTCTGTCCGAACACTACTCCGTTCTTCTGCTCTGGGTTCGAACGCCGCTGTCGCTACCGAGTAGTTGAGACGTCGTCAGGTCTTCCACCGTCGGGGAGGCTGCTGCCATGTCGGAGGAGTTGTTGCCGCCGGTGGGTCGTCGCTGCCACTGCACTTTGCCCACCTCTTGACTTCTGTTTGTTTAGCCGCTGTTGGGATTGACGCGGCGGATGTGTCTCGCCGGAAATCGTCGCGGGTCGGATGACCGCGGAGGAAGGTGGCCGTTGTAACGTTCGTCGCTGGACTTTCGCCGCTGCTTCGCCAGACCGGTGCATCGGAGAAGAAGGCAGACTGACGGGTCGTTTGGGGAGTTTATGGATATAGTTTTTGGAATTTATAGATTAGCCCCAAATTTCCAAACTACTTGCAAATCAGCCTTCCATACAATTTGACTTTAAGAGGTAACCCAAATTTATTTAAATATATTAAGAAATAATTGATGATAACTACATTAGTCCCTTTATAATAATAGGTAGATTTGAGTTTAAGTAGACATTGGAAATTTTAATAAAAGGTTGAGTTTAGAAATTAAGGTCATGCGGGTGACGTCGTTCATCTGATGGTCTCGAGGGTTAAAAACGTGCGCACGGTGGTCATTGACCCCTGGCGAGAGCCAGCGGGGGCCTCAGCCCCCTCCATTGCGAGAGCTTTGGAGTTATGAGTGTGGGTTTGGGCGAGAGCCTGGATTCCATTACTCCCGTAAGTATGAATTGGATTATATCTAGCAGGCAGATGGAGTAGGGATGCATGAAAACGAAACTGAAATATAAGGATAAATAGTGGTACAGTTGGATAATGATATTTGCTGGTTCATTTGATATTGTTTGATTATATATTAATGAGTGCTAGTCTATGAGTTAGTTTTAGCGTTAGATACTTCCACTCTCCCTATTTTTACAGGTAGGGATCAAGGACTGGATTAGGGATGGCAACGAGTCGGGTTCGGGTCGGATAGTACTATACCCGAACCCGACCCGACTTTAAAAACCGAAACCCGAACCCAACCTGAAACCCGACTTTTTAAGCTAAAACCCGAACCCGACCCGAACCCGATATTCCAACCAGAAACCCGAACCCGACCCGAACCCGACTTTTAACTAATAATCAATTCGGCGTACCCCAATAATTTTAAAAAGATTACATCTAATTTTTTTTATGTCTCATTTTTTTTATTAAGAAATTATAAAAATGATTATAAAAGGTATACTTGATATAGTAGCACTTTGTCAAGAGATTATACGGAGTGCTCATTATATCCATAGGCTTTTATGTTATAAAATATTCGGGTTTGAGTCGGGTCGGGTTCGGGTCGGGTCGGGTCGGGTAAAATAATAAACCCACACCCGACCCGACTCGATGTCGGGTTCGGGTAAAAAATTTCGGGTCGGGTTCGGATTATTTTATTTTCGGTTCGGGTTCGAATATTTTAGTGGTCGGTCGGGTCGGATAAGCTCGGGTTCGGGTTGAATTGCCATCCCTAGACTGGATGAGGAGCAGCCTGGAGGACAGTGAAGAGTGACGCTGGTGGATGACCGAAGCTGTTTTATTTAAATTTAATATAGTTGTTGAATTTGTTTACTTAAATTACTAGAATGTTGAATGTTGTTTTTTAAGGCTTCCGCAACGTTTGAATTATTTACTCCGATTAAACCATGATTTGTTCTTAAATAAATATGATCGAATGTTTTATTTTAAATGTTTTTAGAAAATTGTGCATGTGAATACCAAGTTAGTAACAACCCGATACGCTAACTCGTCGATTCGGGTTACGCGGGTTGGGGTGTTACATTTTGGTATCGGAGCATGTGGTTTTAAAAACGGTTCTCGGAAAAAAACAAAAAAACAAAATGTGAATTTATTTTCAAAAAAAAATGTTTCCTTAAAAAAAATATCCACAACTTTGCGACGTCACTGCTCCAAGAGGTAACTCTAAATCCTTTATTTTGTGCTTATGTGATATTTGTTACTTATGTAGTTGAATTGTAAAATTGTAGAATGGACCCTATCGTTAATTACGATGATGATCATCACTCTGAGGATGAGATTGTACAACAGAACAACGATCAAAACATGAAAATGAATCAAAACGTCCCACAACAAGAGGTGCCAAACGGTGGGCCTGCTGGGGTCCCACAGATCGACCATGCAATGACGATGCAACTCCTACAACAAGTTCTGATCATGAACCAGAATGCCTTGACGCACGTTCGACAACCGGAACTGAGGATCACACTTGAGAAACTGAAGAAAAACAGCGTTGAAGAATTCCTAGGCGAGAACATTGCCGACCCGTTGATTGCGTTTAGATGGATAGAGCGCGTACGACGCGTATTCGAGAATTTGAAGGTTCCAGCTGGTGAGTGGACTGATTTCGCGGTCATGCTTCTACAGAGTAATGCGTACGAATGGTGGAAGCGCACTACTCGAAATGCGAATCATCCAGTGAAAGTGACGTGGGCGTACTTCGATCAAGTGTTCAAAGAGGAGTATATTCCCGAGTCGTTTGTGGAAGAGAAAAGAGAAGAGTTTCTACATCTTGAGATGGGTACGATGAGTCTTCCTGAGTATCATCAGCTGTTCGATCATCTCGCTGAGTTTGGCCAAGATTTGGTGAACACCACCAAATGTCGTTGCGATAAGTTCGTGAAGGGCATGCGCCCGAAACTTCAGAAGCACATGTCTACTGCCTCTAGGCAAGACTTTGGTCTTATGTACGAACAAGCCAAAGAAGTGGTTCGAACTAAAGAAGGCGTGAGCCAGAAGAACAACCAGCAATCAGCTAAGACAACTACGCAGGCAGCTAGCACGAGCAAGACTCTTCCAGGAAAGAGACCTCCAAGTGGATCCGAGCTACAAATTTCAAAGAAGGCCAACTCGCTACCCACACAGTCTGTAGCTTCGACTAGCAAAGGCAATCAACTAATGCATCTGTTGTATTCTGATTGCAATCGCCATCACCTAGGAGAATGCTGGAAGAAGCTGGGGTTGTGTATGGGGTGCGGTCAGTCTGGCCACTTCAGAAGGAATTGCCCGACCAATCCTGGTTTTCCATTCTCTAATGCTCCAGCACCGAGTCATACGCCTACTACTAGACCTGCGCAAAGCGAGTGTACGACCGCTGCATCTCAACGTCCACAAAGACCACAACAACCTGCTGCAGTTGTCGTTCGATCTCGAGGTCGATCCTGAATGCGGTACGTCCCTTCTTAGCTAGGATTAGGTCTGTAGCTGATACCATGCAAGAATATACGTAACATCCATATTAGTTGCAATACACTAGGATTGAATTGAGACACAGCACTCACATGGAAGGATAAACTAATGCGCACTCCAACGCTTTTCTCACTGTTGTTAAAGGAGCGACGCTAAGGAATCCGCGCGAATTCAATGTCTTCGTCGTTTTTTAGCGACAACGATGCAAAGGAATTTTGAGGACGAAATTCTTTTAAGGGGGAGAGAAATGTAACGCCCTGAAAACCGGCTTAGTAGTTAGTCGTTAATTTAATAAAAATAAATATACTATTTATTGACTCTAAAATATGAATTATTTGTAAAATTGACAATTTTAATTAAAAATTAGGTCTTTGGGTAGATCTCGTAAAATGATGACCAACGATATATAGTTTCTTAAAATTAGACTTTTGTGTAAAGCGTGGTGAGTAGAATAAAAGTTAGAGTTTAAAAAGTAAATAAAAGGATTTTTATAATATAATAATGTAATATTATTAATTGTGTTAACGTATTACTCCTAGTCCTAAACCAATTTGGCCAAGTCCATCCTCTTTAAATACGGAGTATATGTTCCAATCTGAATTCAATTCTGCATCACGAGTCCTCTTCTTCTTCTACCCTTCCGCCGAACTAGACCAGACAGGGAGTTCACCGGAATTCGCCGGAGCTTCGCCTGAGTTCGTCACCGGAGTTCTAAACCAGAGTTCTTCGCCCATTGATTTGTGATTCGTCGCCGAACAATCGAGGTGAGTGATTTATCTCCCGTTAAAATTAATTCATAGATTAGGATTCGTTAATATGTATTCATTCAATTGAAGTTGAATTTGTAAATATGATTGTTGAAGTTGGGTGAATGATTATGTTGAATTGAGTTGGAATTGGAATCGGGTTTAGAATTGGACACTGGGTTTTTTTTTCTGTTTCTTCCTTGCCTCTGTCCGAACACTACTCCGTTCTTCTGCTCTGGGTTCGAACGCCGCTGTCGCTACCGAGTAGTTGAGACGTCGTCAGGTCTTCCACCGTCGGGGAGGCTGCTGCCATGTCGGAGGAGTTGTTGCCGCCGGTGGGTCGTCGCTGCCACTGCACTTTGCCCACCTCTTGACTTCTGTTTGTTTAGCCGCTGTTGGGATTGACGCGGCGGATGTGTCTCGCCGGAAATCGTCGCGGGTCGGATGACCGCGGAGGAAGGTGGCCGCTGTAACGTTCATCGCTGCACTTTCGCCGCTGCTTCGCCAGATCGGTGCATCGGAGAAGAAGGCAGACTGACGGGTCGTTTGGGGAGTTTATGGATATAGTTTTTGGAATTTATAGATTAGCCCCAAATTTCCAAACTACTTGCAAATCAGCCTTCCATACAATTTGACTTTAAGAGGTAACCCAAATTTATTTAAATATATTAAGAAATAATATATGATAACTACATTAGTCCCTTTATAATAATAGGTAGATTTGAGTTTAAGTAGACATTGGAAATTTTAATAAAAGGTTGAGTTTAGAAATTAAGGTCATGCGGGTGACGTCGTTCATTCGATGGTCTCGAGGGTTAAAAACGTGTGCACGGTGGTCATTGACCCCTGGCGAGAGCCAGCGGGGGCCTCAACCCCCTCCATTGCGAGAGCTTTGGAGTTATGAGTGTGGGTTTGGGCGAGAGCCTGGATTCCATTACTCCCGTAAGTATGAATTGGATTTTATCTAGCAGGCAGATGGAGTAGGGTTGCATAAAAACGAAACTGAAATATAAGGATAAATAGTGGTACAGTTGGATAATGATATTTGCTGGTTCATCTGATATTGTTTGATTATATATTAATGAGTGCTAGTCTATGAGTTAGTTTTAGCGTTGGATACTTCCACTCTCCCTATTTTTACAGGTATGGATCAAGGATTGGATGAGGAGCAGCCTGGAGGACAGTGAAGCGTGGTGGATGACCGAAGCTGTTTTATTTAAATTTAATATAGTTGTTGAATTTGTTTACTTAAATTACTAGAATGTTGAATGTTGTTTTTTTAAGGCTTCCGCAACGTTTGAATTATTTACTCCGATTAAACCATGATTTGTTCTTAAATAAATATGATCGAATGTTTTATTTTAAATGTTTTTAGAAAATTGTGCATGTGAATACCAAATTAGTAACAACCCGATACGCTAAGTCGTCGGTTCGGGTTACGCGGGTTGAGGTGTTACATATGTGGTATATGGCATGTATGCCATGTGTTATCCTACAACAAAAACAAATTTAGTTTATTTAATTTAATTCGTTGAAATATTATATAAAAAACTAAATAATGTTACAGAAAAACATTTTGAAGTAAAATAAATAGTTAACAAATATATGGTTAATAAATATATAGTTAATAAAATATAGTTATTTGTTAGAAAGAACAAAATAAAATAAATAGTCAAAAATATATAAAATGTTAGTTTTTAATTAATAAAGTTATAATACTTTTCTTTGAATAATCATATAATTATGCATATGTAACACCCAATCCGTATAACCCGGAATTACACGAATTAAGGTGAAACAAGAGTTAAATAAAAATTTCGCTTGACATTTGAAAATGATAATTTCTTATAAATATTAAATTTACAGACTCTGGATCGCGACCCATATAAAAATATTTTCAGAGTAATGTGGAAGTACAATAATAATCAAATCATGACACATTTAATATCTGATGACCAAACATTTGCCTGCCATCCTTGCATCTCCGCTGACTCAATGCCCTCCGGGAATGGTTCCGTTATTGTCTTCTTGTTACCTACGTGTAGTCAACGAAAAAATACAAACTACACGCTCAGCGAAACCGCTGAGTGGTACCACGCTAGAATTGTAGAATAATTCACAGACATATACATATACATATATATACGTCCGCAAAGTGTATAATAATGTTCATGATATGGTACATTATGTCATATGATCAATTTGATGATTCATGATGATAAATATTTACTGATAATTACATGATGGCACATTTATTCAATTTGCTAGTTCTTGGTGATGATTACATGACACCTATGTAATCAATATAACTATACTTGATGATGATTTCATGTTGTATGATTCTAAGTCAACAAGGAACGACTTTGCAACTATGAGATTCGCCCATTTGGTACGACGAACTCATGTCCTTCTTAGTCTCACAAGGGAGACTAGAAAAAATAGGGGTGGTACTCGAAAGTCTGAATACCATGTACGTACACTAAGCCCGGTCAGGGTTGTCGGACTACTAAGTCCTGCACAACCACGCTATAAGAGACGCAATTACGCATGATCTCTTACGCATGCATATGATATGATATGCTACAATATGTGTGATGATATGAGTCATATTATATGAACAATTTGTAAATAATATGAATGGATAAATATACTTTATTTTATTTGGGTGAAATCTGATAAAAATATCATTTAATTAAGCTACGGGGCTCGAAACGGTCGACCGTTTGGAGCGACGGTCGACCTTGATCTTCATCAGGTCAGATTTGACGGATCACCGTGACGGTCGACCGTGGTTGACCGGCGGTCGACCGTTGTTGACTGGCTGCGGATGGCAGACTTCGGTTGGTTGGCGGCGGTCGACCGTTAGCCACCGGCGGTCAACCGTTTGGCTGACAGTCGTGGTCCGTTTCGATGTTTAACGTGACGGTCGACCGTTTGCGTCGACCGTTTGGGTCTGCGAATCTTTCTCTTGATATTTTGAGTGTCCAAAATACTTCTTTAAGTGTTTTAAACACCTTTGATTAACAAATACATCTTGTTGGGTTGATTTCAAATGTTTATATATACTTATGTATATATATTAACTTTATGGATTTGGTGTATTTTGATCTCAACATATAGGTGACTTATATATGCATCATATATATATATTTTGGAATGATTTCAACATATGGATTAATATATATGTTCATGTATGTATGTTGATGAATGATTCGACAAGTCTAACGCAAAGGTACAGACCTGGAAATCATTGGCCGAAACCTTACGGATGAGCGGGAGTGGAAACAACATCGAAATTCACCAACTTTGTCATTCTTGTCACAATTGGACAGCCTGCCGTATTTTGGACATATCTCCATCGTTTGTTCACGGAATTACAAACCGCTTGATTCTGTGGATTCCTAAGATGTAAGGCTATAACTTTCGTATAGAAAGTATTTCGAGTTAGCAGATGTAAGATAGCGTAAATTGGACCTGAAGTCAAAGGATAGTTGCTGTCCAGGATTTCGGATATGTCGATGAACAACGATTCCGACGATTAATTCATTAACTTCAATATTCCAACACCGAACCTTCTCTACGATGCCTTCCGGATGTTCCTAATAATCGTTAGAGAGTTTATGGTGAGTGTTTGGAATGAAACAACATGAATATGGTGAGGAAACATAACCAACCCGAGGAGCTCGCCAACACTGGCCCAGTCCCGGTATTTTGGCCATATCTTCTTTGTTACTTAACGAAATCGCGACCCGTTTGTTGGGCTGGATTCGTATCGTCCGGGGCTAGAACCTTTGCTCAAAAAGTATTTCGAGATAATGGATGGAAAATTTCAGTTTTTACCTCAAAGTGGCTGATGCGTTTTTGAGCTAAACATTTGGAAACTTTGGATGGTTTCTTGCTTGCTTCTCCTTCCTTGGAACAACAATGGAGATAAAACTTTCTTTCCCCTTTCTTGATGCTTGGCCGACAGAGAGAGAATGGGAGGAGAGAGGAGTGTTGTGTGTGTGGATGATAAGAGATGATGATGATGGTGATATAGTATAGCTTTTCTTTGTTTATTATATTTTTCTTTTGATTTTTAGTGTAAGATGGGAAATTTGGGGTGACTTTGTGAAGATTGAGGTGGCTAGTGGAGATCATGGGTTGAATACGTGATTGAGTAGGGATTTTAAAATATTTTCTTACTCCGTAACTGTTAAACTGAGTAAAACGGTACGCGCTTTTTCGCCCAAACTGCTTCGAATTGAAAACGGATTATGTTTTTGGAGTCAGACTGTCAAAACTAGAATTTTGACGTAATCAAAATATTTTTCTAAGAACTTTTATTTTTTTCTGTGTTCGGGTCTATCACAGTCATAAATTAATTTAATAATATAAATGATATAAAAATATATGAATTTAATCCAAATGATAAATATGGTGTTGTCAAGTGTCAAAAATTAAGATTTCTAATCTTATGAAATCTCTTTTGAATTGAGTTTATTTTATGGGTCAAAGTTACAAATTTTAATATTTAAAATTGACATAACTTGAAATCTATGAATCGGATTGGTTTATAAAATGTACCGTTGGATTCGTCTCTTCGAGATATATCCATAAATATAACTTTTTAACAAAAAGTCATTATTTTGAAAATCCATTTATTTTTTGGTCAAACGTATAAATATTTCTTATTGGACAAAAATTACTTTTGTTTTATAATAAATTTTAGGCCATATTTTGTGGCGTTACAACATATTTATAAAATATGTTATAATAATGAAATATGTATTTTTTCTATAGTTAAAAAGTGAAGAATTATGAATTTCAATGAGTGTTACAAAGTATTCACCTCCCCTTATATACATGTAGGAGGGTAAAGAATAAGGAAACAATATTAATGTAGAATCCTATACAATCATAGAATCTACCATATATAATAACTACATTAAATATGTTATATTATGTTAACATATTTAACATGCTACCAACTACGTCGGTGATGGTCGAACACCAAGGTTGTGTTGAAAATCAGTGAAGAGAAGTGACGGCAATCCTTTGGTGAAAATGTCTGCGAACTGGGACGAGGATGGCACATGGAGAACACGAACCTGCCCTAAAGCAACTTTATCTCTGACAAAGTGAATATCTACTTCAACATGCTTGGTCTGTTGGTGCTGTACTGGATTTGATGACAAGTAAACGGCACTAACATTGTCGCAGAACACAATGGTGGCACGTCGTAGTGGTTGGTGGAGTTCAAGGAGAAGATTTCAAATTCAACTGGTTTCAGCAACTGCATTGGCCACAGCCCTATACTCTGCCTCAGCACTGGAGCGGGAGGTGGTGGCTTGTCGTTTGGAAGACCAGGAAACCAGATTGTCCCCTAAGAATACACAATAACCAGAAGTGGAGCGTCGCGTGTCTGGGCAACCCGCCCAGTCTGCATCTGAGTAGGCCTGAAGGAGATCTGATGAAGAGCGAGAGAGAGTGATTCTGTGGGTGACTGTGCCTTGGAGATAACGGAGGACCCATTTTAAAGCCGTAAAATGAGTCATCCGTGGAGAGTGAAGGTAGAGACATAGCTGCTAGACTGCATAAGTGAGATCCGGTCGAGTAAATGTAAGGTACTGAAGTGCACCAACAAGGGGACGGTAGAGAGAAGTATCGGCTGTGGGTTCCCTAGAGGTGGCAGAAAGCTTCCCTTTGGAGTCAACCGGTGTGGAGATGGGCTTATAGTGGACCATACCTGTCCTGTCCAGATGTCTTGTGCAAATTGTATCTGATGCAAGAAGAGACTGCCTTCTTTAGTACGCTGAACATTAATGCCAAGAAAGAAATTTAGCTCCCCCATATCAGTCATGGGAAACTCCCCCTTCAGTCGTTCCGTGATATGGGCTAAAAGTGTAGCTGTCGAAGCTGTGAGGACAATATCATCCACATATAAGAGTAAGTATGCCGTGTGCGACCCCTTCATGTAAACAAAGAGAGAAGTGTCTGTCTTGCAGCTCTGAAACCCAATATGCCGGAGAAAACATGCAAATTGTAAGTACCAAGAGTGGGGTGCCTGTTTCAAGCCATATAGTGCCTTCTTGAGTTTGCAAACATGATGTGGGCATGAGGGATCCTCAAACCCAGAAGGCTACGGTATGTGGGGGGAAGTGGAGAGATTGAGATCGAGGTGTTGAGGTTGAGGATGGATTTCGGGCAAGAGATACCAGATTTGGTGCGAGGGGTCATAGGGTGGATGTTGGTTGGCGGGTGTGGTGCAACCGGGTTGATGGGCTGGGCCGAGGGGCGGGGGTGAGCAGAAGGGTGAGTGAGGTGGTCGGTTTGGGCCGGTTGAGAGGAGGATGGTTGGGCCAATTGGGAGGGGGAGCGATGATCTGTGAGTGGGTTTGGGGGGGATACTGGGTTGGGCCGAGGGGTAGGGGGGTGATTGGGAGAGTTGGTGAAAGTGGTAGGGAATGGTGTCCTCCATGGAGTCAAGAAATTGAAGATCAAAGGGTGTTGTGTCACGAGGAAAGGGAAAAGAGGTTTCATCGAAGACGACATGACGAGAAATGATAATTTTGTGAGTGTCTAAGTCTAGGCATCGAAACCCGCGTTAATTAGATGGATAGCCAAGAAAGACACACCGGGCGGACCTGGGGGACAATTTGTGAGGAGCGGTGGCCGAGGTGTTAGGATAGCAAAGACAACCAAACACACGTAAGTGGGAGTAGGAGGGTGGCGTCTGGAATAGTACTTCGTGAGGGGTTCGGTTTTGAAGAGTGGTGGTGGGCAGGAGGTTAAAGAGATGGCAGGCCATGTGGAGAGCTTCAACCCAATATTCAGGGGGTAATTGGGCCTGGAAAAGCAAAGTCCGAATGATGTTGTTTATGGTTCGGATCGTACGCTCTGCGCGGCCGTTTTGTTGGCTGGTGTGAGGGCAAGAAAAACGGAAGAGAATACCTAGCGAATTAAAAACATTTTGGAGAGGAGTGTTACGATATTCTGTTCTGTTGTCACATTGAACCGCCTTAATGGTGGCATTAAATTGATTACGCACATAAGCTAGAAAAGTTGTCAGTTGTGAAAAAACATCGGACTTATGGCGTAAAGGAAAAACCCACAAGTAATGAGAAAAATCATCCAAAAGAAGCATGTAAAATTTAAAACCAGTAATGCTGGAAATAGGAGATTGTCATAAATCAGTGTGCATTAATTGAAAGGGAAAACTTGAAGTTCTAACAGAAAAAGTAAAAGGAAGGCGAACATGTTTGCCTAACTGACAAGCATGACATAAATTTTCCTTAAAATGTTTATTATGAGTAATAAGAGAGGACAAGTAAGGGACTCCATGAAGAACAGCCGGACTGGGATGACCAAGACGACGATGCCATGTTTGTGTGTCAACGGAGGTAGCGTGGACCTGGACGACTAGAGTGTGAGGACGCATGGGATAGAGTGGACCATCGTTATTGGAGCGATGTATCACGGCTCCCGTCTAACGATCCTTCACAGAAAAGCCACGAGAGTCAAATTCGATGGTGCAATTATTATCATGGGTAAACTGGCGAACAGAAATAAGATTATGAATGATATGAGGGGAGACTAGAACATTATTGAGTGATGGGGGTGGGGAAGTAGGAAAAGTATGTTTACCAATAGCCGTAGCACGAACTTTTGATCCATTACCTACAGTGATGAGCGGTGGTGAATTTAAAGGATAAGAATAAACATGAGAAATAGTACCTGGATCTGAAGGAATGTGGTGAGAGGCACCAGTATCCATCAAACAAGTAGGTTCACGGAGGGTCATCGTATCAAATTGGTGGGCCAGAGCTGTGGGGTTTTGTGGTTGAGGGGCTGGCGGGTAGGGGGTTTGAGGGGGGTAGGTCGGGTAGAGTGGGTAAGGGGGTGGGTTTTGGGCATATGGGTATTGGGGATAAAAGGGTTGCGTGTTGGGCTGGGTTAAAAAGGCCTGGGCTGGGTAAGGAAAGAGATTGGGTCGTGGGCCCAGTAGGCCTTGGCTTGGGTTTGGGTAGGGATAAAGTGTCTGCCAGGAGGGAACCGTGTGCCCAGGGAGTTGCCGAGAGTTTCCGCCGCCGTTCCGACCACGACCGCGGCCGCGCGTCAGTCGGCCACCACGACCTCCCGCCGCCTGTCCTCGTCCGCCGCCACTGGGCTGCCCGTTCTGCTGACCTCCGGCACCGCCAGGGATCCGTGCGCGACCCGTTCCTCCACCGACGTTGATCGCTGCAAGTGCCGTGCCGCCGTCACCAGTAGGGATGAGGGGTCAGTACTGGTTTTCTAATAGAAGGAGAGCCGATCTCGTTTCCATGAACGTTGGCAGTGACTTTTGGAATTGGAGAAAGGAAACCTGTTTGCTGAGATCGTCTGGGAGTCCTCGGAGGGCTTGGAGAACAAGCTGATTTTCAGTGACAGGAGCGTCTACATCGTCCAACCAGTCAGCAATATTCCGGAGAGTTTGACAGTAGGTGGAGATCGTAGACGTGCCTTTGACGGTGTTGTAGAATTGATGCTCCAATTGCATAGCTCAGGCCGCCTTGTTATCATGAAACAAATCGTGTATTACTTTCCATAAATCCGCTGCAGTTGTGGCGGAGGAGAGGATGAGATCGGAGACCTCATCGTTTATGGTTGAGAGAATCCATCCTTGGATGAGAGCATCAAGTTGAACCCATTCGATATCATCTTTCCCGGCCAAATTCCTCTCGCTGGTGATGAACCCTTCAAGATTGAACCGTCGAACCAAAAGGAGAAAGAGACAGCTCCACTTTTTATAGTTTGGTTCCGAATAACTGAGAGTGATAGGAACATGTAGTTTGATGTTGGAGACCGTCGTGAAAGCAAGATGAAGAGTGGTTGTGGCGGGGTTAGAAGGAGAGTTAGATTTGTCAGAGGACATGATGATGATAGTATGGGGGGAGGTGACTGCCGAAAAAAAACAGAGAGAAGAGGGTGCTGCACCTAAAATTATAATGATGATGTGCTGATGAGAATATGATGATGATAATATGATGAGAATGGGGAGAGAGCACTGCAACAAGAAGGGAAGATACGCCGCAGAGAAAGTGTAACGCACCAAAACCCGGCCTATCAGAATTAATTAATTAGAAATAATTAATTAATTATTGAGACAGACTGGGTGAAAGTTTAATATACTCTTCGTTTGACAACAAAGATTATACCGTTGTGTAGAGTTAGACGGATCGAATCTAACGGTGAAATCGGACTTGGATTTGGAGTTAGTGGGCCTGGAAAGTGCGTTTGGGCCAGGTACGTTCGGTTAATACGGAGCCCAAAACCCAAAAAGTATAAATACACTCCCTACACGCCCCAAAAGTATAAATACACTCCCTCGTTGCTAAGCTGCAATTACCCCTTCGGGCTGTCACTCCTTTCCGTGTGTACGTCGGAAACGGCGACGCCATGCCATGCACGTCTTAGTGCGCGGGCGTCCCCTTACTAATGCTAAACCATATCTTTTCTGTTGATTTATTTGTATTGCAGATTCATGGCCAGGATCTCGTCCTTAGAGTCCAGTGGCTGCAGCAACTTGGGAAAGTCACTTAAGACTATACACAACTCACATTGGAGTTTGTGTGGGACGGCAAACCGATCCAGTTGCGAGGGGATACCACCCCCAAACCGGTGTCCTTTACTATGTTCAAGGCCCTCCACAGTTCCCAGCATTTGGTGGAGTTTTACGTGCTCTTGGCCCTTCCCTTGGACACAACGACACCACCAACAGCCCCCACTTCTGAATCCGCAATCCCGGGGCCGATCGCAGCACTACTGGAGCAATTTTCTAGGTTGTTTGAGTTAACCACGGGGCTGCCACCTCATCGCTCGGCGAATCACAGAATTTTCCTCCTACCGGGCAGTAGTCCGGTGAATGTTCGTCCTTATCATTACCCCCATTACCAAAAGGGTGAAATTGAGCGCATGGTATGGGAGATGCTAGAGCAAGGGCTCATCCGACCAAGCAGGAGTCCTTTTTCCTCGCCGGTTCTTTTGGTCAAGAAGAAAGATGGCACGTTCCGTTTTTGTGTGGATTCTCACGCGTTGAATGCGATTACCATACCGGATCACTTCCCCATTCCGACCGCTGATGAATTGTTCGATGAATTGGGGGATGCTAGTTACTTCACCAAATTGGACCTTCGTTCTGGGTATCATCAAATCAGGATGACCGCAAAAGATATTTACAAAACCGCATTCCGCACACATGAGGGGCATTATGAGTTCTTAGTGATGCCTTTCGGGCTCACGAATGCCCCCTCGACCTTTCAAGCATGCATGAACCAGCTCCTCGCTTCGTTTCTACGCTGCTTTGTCTTGGTTTTCTTTGATGATATATTGATTTACAGCCCCTCCTTGCTTCTGCATCACGAACATCTACAGACGATACTTTTTACTCTTCATGCCAATGTGTTTTACATCAAGCATTTGAAGTGTTCTTTTGGCCAGCTCTCGATCGAATATTTGGGGCATATCATCAAGGCCGGAGAACTCCACACCGATCAGAGTAAAATTCAAGCCATGTTGGATTGGCCCACACCGACGACGGTACGGAAGCTCCGCGGCTTTCTTGGTCTTACGGGGTATTACCGGCGTTTTGTCCGGCACTATTCTACTTTGGCAGCCCCCCCTCACGGATCTCTTGAAGGAGTCTTTCGCTTGGAGTCCTGGAGCAGCCGCTGCCTTTTAACACTCAAGGAGGCCATGTCCACAGCCCCCGTACTCCGTCTGCCGGATTTCTCTATTCCATTTGTCCTCGAGACGGATGCTTGCGCGACGGGTATTGGTGCCGTGTTATTGCAAAAGGAGCAGCCCGTCGCCTATTTCAGCAAAAAGCTTGGTCCCCGCCGTATTATTACAAAGAACTCCTCGCCATCGTCGAGGCGGTGCAAAAATGGCGCCAATACTTGTTGGGGTAGGAATTTCTCATCCGCACGGATCAACGCAGCCTACGAGAACTACTTCATCAGGTAGTTCAAACCCCCGATCAACAATATTATGTGCGTAAACTCATGGGGTTCCGATTCCAAATCGAGTATAAACCCGGGGCGTCAAATAGGGTGGCCGATGCTCTCTCATGCCGGGAGGATGATGACAGTATGATCTCCACCTTTATGCATTTTTCACAGGCAGTGCCTTTAATTCTGGAATCCATATGCAGAGAGAACACTTCCCAGGCCGACTTAAAGCAATTACACAAGGCGGCCGCACAGGGTTCTCTATCGCCGGACTATTCTATCACTGATGGCTTGCTATTTTATTGGCGACGCTTATGCATTGGTCATGAGTCCCCACTACGTGACCAGCTTCTTTGTGATTACCACGCATCTCCTTTGGCCGGACACCCAGGCGTGCAGCGGACTTTTTACCGGCTGGCCATGCACTTCTTTTAGCCCAATATGCGTCGGGACGTCCAAAATTACATCGCCTCATGTACTATTTGCCAAGTTACAAAATACTCGACGAACCCCCGGCCAGCTTATTACGACCCTTACCCATTCCGCTCCGGGTCTAGGAGGACATCTCTATGGACTTTATTACGGGGTTGCCGATCTAGCGTGACTACTCTGTCCTTTTGGTGGTGGTGGATCGCTTGACTAAGTATATCCACTTGGGGCCTTTGCCGAGTGACTTCGATGCTCTGCGTGTCGCTCAACTATTTATTGACATTGTCGTCAAACTTCATGGCTTTCCGCGGAGTATTGTATGGGATCGTGACAACATTTTTATGAGCCGTTTTTGGGAGCACAGCCTCCGTTTGAGTGGTACAACCCTGCAGGTGAGTACGGCCTTTCACCCGCAAACCGATGGGCAAACGGAGGTCATGAACAGGAGCATCGAGCAGTATCTACGCGCCTATGTACTGGACAAACCAACTCGGTGGACCACCCTTTTGCCATGGGCTGAGTTTGCTTTGAACACTAGCTACCATGCCGGTCTAAAAATGAGTCCCTTAGCTTCTGGAGTTCGAAGGCACTCGAAGCCTTCTCAACCTTGGTACACCCGTATCATTGGTGCTCTCGTTGTTCATCATGAGTTCCGAAACAACGCCTTTAGCCGATCATCTCGCGGCTATTGATGCTCGTTTCAAGGAGTTGCGGGACTATATCCACGACACTACCAAACAGTTGCAGCAAGATTTCGAGACTCGTTTGACGTTTGTTGTTGTTGATGTTATTGTTATATATGGTAATCTTATATGTGTACATTATAGCAGTAGATTATTTTTGGAAAATATTATATATGGACAATACATATTGTCTATACATATTATATATGAACATATGATGGGGATATTAATACTATTTATAAAAATAATTTATAAAAGATATGATTATTATTGTTATTATTATTATTATTATTATTATAAAAGTGTGATTATTCATAATAGAACCTGGAGTAGTAATAATACTATATAGGCTAATATTACTTATAGTAATAGAAAAAATATTTTAGTGAAAATTTGGTATATGTAATTTTTTTATTTTAAAAAGGTTAAGGCGAATCTTTGAAACACGTTGAGTTATTGTTACGAAAATCAGTATTTAGTCACAAACAATAATATGTTGTGATTTCAAGAGTATCAAACCGTAATAACTTGAAAATTCTTATATACAACTCAGAGAATTCAGTAATGTAGCTAATAAAGAAGTTTTTCAATATTTGTAAGTCATAAGATATTTTTGTTTTAAAATAATGAAAAATCTTATATTTCATTATATGGTCTATTTTTTATTTCAATCATAACACAACATATACTTATAACGTAATGCGACACACGGGTGTGATACTAGTTGTAACAATTTTTTTTTATTTTTCAATGTTTTGAAAATGGTGTGAAAATGAAGTATAAAGAATTTTATAGGGGCAAATGAGTTTTTTACGAATTTATTAAAAAGAAAGGACCATGCTACACTTAAACCAAAAAATATACCCCATTTGTACACCACAGGTTTGCACAAACATTTCGATGGTTTACACCGACACAAGTGTTGGTGCGTTAATAAAAATTCACACGGACACAAATGTTGGTGCGTTTAACAAAAATTAGTTTTACACCAACACAAAGTGTTGGTGCAAAACTGCGGGGTACAAATTGAGGTACAAAACTTGGGGTAAACATAGCATAATCCAAAAAAAATTGCCTCCTCATCTAACCAAACATACCCTAACAAGCGGACGAAAGACTCCATACTAAAAAAAATACAGAGTAAAAAACAAAAACATAAAAAAATGAAGAGATAGAGATGATCGAGCCTATCTCTGCTTCTGCTGCTTCTTCTCTACTATATGTACGGAGTATCTATCAGTTTTACAGTAATTTATCCATTTCTTATTAATTGTATACAGACACAGATTGTTGCTTTCCATATACGCAAGAGCTTTTGCTTCTTTCGAATTTTTCAGGTAAAGAAGAAAAGGAAGGCAAGTTTATCTTCTCAATTTTCCCACAGTTCATTCCACTCCCCTCAATCCGTATGTTCTTATTTGTTTAATATGGATTGATTGATGGCTCAATGCGTTGTCGTCTTAGTGATTCGCGGTTAATTTGGATCCGATTCGGTTGGTTTTGGTGAATTCTACGAGGATTAACTGTTGAACTTCCGCTTTTAAATATTTGTTGTTGTTGTGCGGTGAGTAGAGTTTTATATCGAGATAAGAATTGTTGCTGAGTCTAAGAATTGGAGTGATGTTGGTGGTGTCTGGGAATGGAGATGTTGGGGACTCATTTCGCAATTCAATGGAAGTTGTAAGGGGCGTGCTATCCCCGATAGAGTCCGGTTTAAAGAAGGTGGCTAAGGATTTCGAACTCTGCTGGACTGGTTCTCCGATTCCCGCAGTTGATTGTGTTGAGGATGGGAACACCTCAGAGCTAAATGTGAAGAGAAAGAGTGTGGCTGTGACAAAGAAGAAGAAGAGTTTAGATTTGAAGATGCCAGCTAAGATGTTCGTAGGGATTTTTGGGAGTAGTGATAGAACTGAAGTTAGGGATAGGAAAGGACTGAAAGAGAATTGTGGGGAGGGAGATGGCGGGAAGGGGAATACGAGTCGATTTGACTGTTTACATTTTGCCATTGCTTGGTCTTTAATGATGAATAACTTTGCCCAGGCTCTTCCGAGCACTTTTAAGGCTGGGGAACAGAGAGGCAAAGTTATGAAAAAGAGATCAGATGGTAAAGTATCTCATCACGAAAGGTTGAGTCACAAAGAAGGGAAGGATGCATCACTTGAGGGATTTATAGGGTTTGTGTTAGATCAGGTAGCTCATAATCTTCAAAAGCTTGACTCTCATTTTCACGAGAAGGGATCCAAGGAAGCCACATCCTTAGAGGTAGTTCCCAAATTTGCCACCAATCATCTTAAGGTGCTTATTAGTGTGTTTCAAGGGAAAAGAGCAGATTTCAATGGATTCTTGGGGAATTTGAAGTTTGCAAGAGTTGGAGGTTTGCCGACAAGTGTTGTTGGTGTCTCTTCTCACAACGAGGGGGGAGATGGTGTGGTCAGTGGTGATGGTCCACACGTGGAAGGCGGAGGACAAAAAGTGGCCAATGGGTTGCTGAGCATTCCCTTGTCAAACGTTGAACGGTTGAGGTCAACTTTGTCAACTATTTCATTGACAGAACTAGTTGAGCTCTTACCCCAGTTAGGCCGACCTTCACAAGACCATCCTGATAAAAAGAAACTGATTTCTGTTCAGGACTTCTTCAATTACACTGAAGCTGAAGGTATGCCTTTCTATATAGGTTTATGAGTTATGACCCGTTGAATAGTTGTTTAGTTCAGTTGGATATTATACGTTTGCTTAACTTTTAGTTGTTCTTACATCATATGGAGTATATTTTACTTATTGATCAGGCATCAAATACTTGTGATGTCGGGTGATTATGCATTAAGCATCGAGCATTTATCAATTTACGAGTTTTAATGCAAAGGAAAAAAACTCAGAGAACTTGAAAACAACACGTTTACATAATAAAAAAAAGTTCAATTTATGAAGAGTTCATTACACATTTATATTAGGCGCAACAATTGCTTCCAAGTTTATTTTTGTTTTGTTCGATTGTGCTACATACTGCCTTTTGGCCTATCAATGCAAGATTCTTGTCTTCATTTTTTTATCCATCCCAAAATATGGTTTTTCCGTTTGAAGGAATTAGTTGGTGTGATTTGTATTATTTCTCTCTCTAAATAAATCGCAACCTCACTTTTTTTTCTTAATAAGATCGACAAGAATTGCATTTTGGGACAGATGGCGTCCAGTACTTTTTAATTAACCAAGAAAGAGATAAAGATAGATCTAGAAAACAGGTAATGTGTGTCCAAAATGATAAAAGAGAGTACAATAGTTGCGTATAAAAAGAAATCAATTCAAATAGGCAATTGGTTCGATTCTACCTTTGGAATCAGCGCACTTCTGACCTGACCCATTTTTTTCGTCTTGTTTTTCATTTGGAAGTTCATTCCCAATTTCCCATGATTCTTTATATCAGTTTATCTTATAGTACTTGTACCCAGTGGCTTGTGGTCCTACTGTGTTGCCATTGCATGTTAGCTTTTGTTTTGTGGGAGGACATAACTTCTGCATGGCTAATTTGTTATATTCACAATGATTTTGCTATCCACCTCATTGGAATGTTGAAGAGTGTCTTACATTGAGAGAACAAATCACAACATATGGGGTTTACAATGTTATCAATTTAAATAGGCAATTTGTTTGATTAAACATTTGAAGGTTCAGTTTGACTCATATGTATCATTGCCCAACTTTTACACAGAGCTAGCTCTGACTGAATTCCACCAGTATTAAACTTTAGCATCATTTAGGTATGTTGTGCATCTAGTTACCCATCTAAAAAGTCAACCTAATGGAAGCCATTGGCTATGCTGTTTGTTTGAATGTTCAATCCAAGCGATGTGTAGTTTCATGATGTTATTGCTGCATCAGGCCTTCAGTTCAAGGGAAGAATATAAAAAGTAACAGGTAGTCAATATATTCATGGTGTTATTGCTTTCGAATAATTTTAACTGCTATATATTCATGTGGATTGCAAGTAGAGGGAAATCTCTCTCTAGCATGTGTTTTTATGAAGCATATATAATGGGGTTCCACCTGTGTAAGCTTGGTGCTCATTTTCATATTCATGTATTTGAACATGTATGTTCAGTTTAACAGGATCATGTATACATACCTGTATTTCTCTTTCTTGACACTCCTTATGAGCTCAGTCTAAATGAAGGCATATTTTAATCCTGTAGGAATGAGATTTTTTGAGGAGTTGGATGGTGATGGGGATGGCCAAGTCACTTTGGAAGATCTTGAGACTGCCATGAGAAAGAGAAAGTTGCCAAAAAGATATGCTCGTGAATTCATGCACCGTACAAGAAGTCACTTATTTTCGAAATCTTTTGGTTGGAAACAGTTTTTATCTCTAATGGAACAAAAAGAACCAACTATCCTGCGGGCTTATACTAGTCTTCGCTTGAGCAAATCAGGAACCCTACAGAAAAGCGAGATATTGGCATTGTTGAAAAATGCAGGCCTTCCATCAAATGAAGACAATGCTGTTGCCATGATGCGCTTCCTAAATGCTGATACTGAGGAGTTTATCTCTTACGGGCATTTTCGTAATTTTATGCTTTTGCTTCCTTCAGACAGATTACAAGAAGATCCCCGGTAAATTATAGTTCTATTTCTCACGTTTTGGAATTTTTGAAACAAGAACTTTATTTTTGTCTCAATAGACATGAATACAGAAGAAAAGGGTCAAAATGCTCATAAAGTATCCGACAAGGAGCAATTTTATCATTCTTCCAAGTTCCACCTATTGGCTCGAGGATGACTTTCTTTCCACCTATTGGCTGATTTGGCTCAAAAGCGTCCCTCCTTCCACGTTTAACATTTATTTATTGGCTTTAATTGCCCTTAATGTTAAAAATGTTCTTTATTGCAGAGACATTGGATGTGATTTCCATTTGGCGCATGGCATATTTTCATTCGTTCACTCAGATGCTAAATCCAAACACATATGATCTAGACCCAAACAAATAGATACAACCCGACCCAATTTACTAAACCAAAATAGGTTTTCAACAATGTTTTCCATATTCTTGGACTAAACATTTTCCAACTCAAACCAATCTTCTAATAAATCTTTGTTCAAATACCCAAAATTTGAAACAACATGCCAAATACCTAGAGTCAAACTCGTCAATAATTTGGTTCAAGCTTCAAAAAATTATAACCCTGTTTTTTGAAATTCTTCAATAGAGTTCTATCATATTTGAGCATCAAAGAAAAACATTCCTTGATTAAATATTTTTCTTGGTGACTAGGTCATGCTGTATCCATTTGGGTCTGAGTCTTTATGTGTTTGGTTTAGTGATCCATGTGGACGAATGAAAAATTTCACATGTCAAATGAAAGTCCCATCTAATGTCTCCATGATTAGGGTATTTTTAAGCAATAATTAATGTTAAGGGCATTTTGAGCCGATTCATAATTTAGGGCATTTTTGAACGAGAGTTAGAAGGATGACCATTTTAGGGGCATTTGTGACCCTTCTGGCCTTCTACCAAATTAATACTCCCTTCGTCCCTAAAAGATTGCCACAGTTTGACTTTTTGGTCAAATTGTAGTACTCTTTCACTGTGAATTATGGAAATCGTATATTTGGTTATGATGTAAATTTAGTAAAATTTGGTTTATTTTAAAATATAGTTCTAAAATATCAAATTTTTATAATATTTAATTATTTTAAATTATATTTAATTCGTGGTCAAAGGGTTGACAATCTTTTAAGGACGGAGCTGTTAGAGATGATGCATTTATTAGACAAGGTTTCATGTTTCTAGGTTTCAAAAATGTTTTTGATTGGTTAGTACTTTCCGGGTATGCAAAGTGAAGTGGTATCTGTATCTTCACAGCTTAGTGTGTTGTTTTGTTCTTTCCAATTCTTATACTTTGTTAGAATATAAATAACTGTTCCTGGGCCACAACCACAAGCTTGAGCTTTTGGTTGAGTTGGTTCCTTGACATGGTATCGGAGCCTTGTTGACTAAGAGGTCACGGGTTCGAAACTCAGCGCCACCCAGTTTAAAAAAAATTAAGGTTTCACGTGTAAGGCTCGAAAAAGTCTACGCCTGCACGTGAGGGGGCGTGTTAGAATATAAATAACTGTTCCTGGGCCACAACCACAAGCTTGAGCTTTTGGTTGAGTTGGTTCCTTGACATACTTATTAATGTAAAGGTCATGACAGTTTGGGTCCACAATTTCTTTGGCAATTATTTTTTGTGGTGTTTGGGTATACCTGAGGATGAGCCTTGGCTCAACTGTCACGTTGCTCCTTTAGTGACCAAAAGGTGACAAATTGAAACCATACGATGAAAACCATTTCTTGATAAAAATTAACTCGGGAAGGCTGCGTACATATACGGTGTTCCCTCCCCCTATCCGTAGGCTTGCACATTGTTAGTGTTTGGGCGTAAGTGCTTTTCACGTTTGGTGATGCATTTTATGAATTTCCATATGTCATCCAAACCCCACTCAATAATAAAGAACATTACGTTGAAATGTGGCTTTTGTGGGTTTGTACATTGTAGTAATACTGTTTTGAACTGGAAGGAATGAAACACAACTACGCAAATACCAACTGGTTGTATATGTTCACACCCAATGCAGCGCAGTGATGATACTTAAGAATCTTTTGATTATCTTGTTATTTTACTAAATCTAAATACATCTGCAGAAGCATTTGGTTTGAGGCTGCAACTGTGGTTGCTGTTGCACCACCTGTTGAGATACCAGCAGGAAGTGTTCTAAAATCTGCTTTGGCTGGTGGCCTTTCTTGTGCACTTTCTACATCATTGTTGTACCCTGTTGATACAATCAAGGTACTCTTGAATTGTCTCTTATAATCTTGATTATATCATCTATGGTGTATGAATTTGCACATACATTCCTCCCTGAAAATACTAGGGGAAAAAGTTTTAATCAAATGTTACTTTCCTTCATATTTTCTAAGGTAAAATGGAATATAAAACTATTTTCATTTATGTTTTTTTCCTTTCCCTACCTTTCATAAGATAGCCTTTTTAATGAAATTTGAAAGTGCCCTTTTGTTAACATGGTTATCATTAGACAAGAGTACAAGCATCAAGCCTTGCCTTTCCGCAAATCATGTCAAAGATTCCTGAAATTGGAGCGCAAGGATTGTACCGAGGGTCCATTCCCGCAATCGTAGGCCAATTTTCAAGGTCAGTCATGATGTCCTGATGATTTTTTGTTTGCTTTTGGTTTATTTGTGGAACATTTTATGTACAGCTGCTTTGTAGATGTTCCCGCACATATAGGTTATTGTTGATCTTTTTTGCAGCCATGGCTTGCGGACTGGAATTTTTGAAGTAAGCAAGCTTCTTTTGATTAAAGTTGCCCCCACGCTACCAGACATACAGGTAAGGGATTAGACATCACATTTCTTTTTTTCGGAAAAAAATTAATTGTCTTGCTTTTCTCTAAATTCCAATGTGAGTGCATTCAGATTACTGTTGAATTAGCTTTTCCACATTAGCAGTAGTGCTACAGTGCCACGAAAAATCCATTTTGTGCAAACTTTTCAGCTTTATTTATTTTGGTCCAATTTTTCTTTCATATCATCATAATTTTATTTCATTCCAAAGAAAAGGTAGTCTAATACATCGCAATGGAAGGCAGACGTGCAACAAGCTGCGCCCTCCCTCATAAATCAAAGCTGTTTTTTTAAGGAATTAGTTAAGGCTGTTGAGTGTCGATCAATTTGTCATTCATTGTGTTTGGACTCTCCCTCCTTCCCTCCCAAGCTAATAATGCTCACTGATGATCAGGTCCAATCGGCAGCGTCATTCTGCAGCACTTTCCTGGGGACAGCGGTACGAATACCATGCGAAGTACTGAAACAAAGGCTGCAAGCAGGTCTGTTCGACAATGTGGGGCATGCAATTGTAGGCACTTGGCAAAAAGATGGTCTTAAAGGCTTCTTTCGTGGGACTGGTGCCACTCTCTGCCGCGAGGTCCCCTTTTATGTTGCCGGCATGGGCCTATATGCGGAATCAAAGAAGGTTTGTTTTAGTTTTTTACTTTGCTCTAGAAATTAATTGATCTTCTAGAGGATCTGTGCTCGTAACATTGCATTCTTTAGCGTTTAATGATTTACTAGAGGATACTCTCAGAAAATTGACATTCTGGGGTATTGCTTCATAGGCTCCATGTGGCTGAAATAGATGTTACCGGACATTTTTTCCTCTAAAAAAATTAGCAGATTCAGGCATTTCATTTCTACCAGATAACCCTTACCAACCAGGCTCTTAGTGTAAATGTGTAATGGTTCGGGATGCTAAATATGGCTGAAGAATTACGCTAGGGGTAGGGAAATGTGAAGTGATGAGTTAAGACTAAAGAGAATGCTATGAATATTGGATTTGACAAAAATACACTTCAAGTGATGGTGTTGGAGCTACCTCACGTGTTCTTTTGAAGTGTGATTTTGACATTCCGTGAACTTCTCTCCAATAGCCTTAGCTCGTAGGGGTATGTCCACACCTTTAAAATTTTTAGAAAAAAGAAGAAAATGTCAAGGATGATCGTGTGTGTGTGTGTATGATTCGGCAAATGTAAATGAAATGTGGTTTATTTTTATGAAAATTTAACGTGTTGAGATTCTTAGTATTTGTATAATAGATACTCCCTCCGTCCCTAAGTAAACATCACAGTTTACTTTTTCACTCACATTTTAAGCTTTTCTTGAAATGCATGCCCAGTCAAACGGGGCATTAAAAGTCTAAAATAGATAAAAACGAGTTTGAAAAATATCAAAAATAAAGTTTTTGAGTTTGAACCAATGTAGTACTTCCCCTCGCATTTCATTATGCTCTGACTAATTTCATGGGCGACATTGTCAGGCTGCCCAGAAGGTATTAGGACGGGAGCTGGAGCCGTGGGAAACACTTGCGGTAGGGGCGTTATCGGGCGGTCTAGCGGCAGTGGTGACAACGCCATTTGATGTGATAAAGACAAGGATGATGACGGCCCCACCAGGGAGGCCAGTCTCATTGTCAATTGTGGCAGTCTCTATAATCCGGCACGAAGGAGTCTTGGGGCTGTTCAAGGGAGCTGTGCCCAGGTTCTTCTGGATTGCCCCTCTTGGTGCCATGAATTTCGCCGGCTACGAGCTTGCTAAGAAGGCTATGGATAAAAGTGACGAAACTGTTGCTGGCGGCGGTGAGCTGCAGCATTAAGTTGTTGTGAAGAAGCAGTAGAGGTTAGTGTATCTATTGTGGAATACTCTTTTTTTTGCCCCAATTGTGTTTATGAGATTTTGCTTGAATGCATGGAAATCAACTGCTGGAAATCTCTCATGTTAAAAAAAAAACAGCAGAGTGGGTATGATATGATATCATATAGTTGAAGATGTGTTGGAAGCCTTTGCTTCTCTTGTGAAAGTTACAATGTTTTGGTAGCAATTGTAAATTGACCACTTCGTGGAATTCACTCCACTTTATATTGCTCTAACTTTTTTTATTTTTTTATGCAGTACATTTATTTTCTAGTCTAGAGTCTCAAGACCACATCCATCAGCTTGAGTGAGTCGCTTGATGCATATGGTTAGGGGTGAGCAATTTAACCGAACCGACCGATTAACCGAACCGACCGCCATTTTAAATTCGGTTTCGGTTTTCGGTTTTAATGTCTAAAATATTCGGTTAATTCGGTTATCAGTTTCGGTTTTGGGCAATGTTAACCGAAACCGACCGAATAACCGAGCCCATAATATGTATGTTAAATATATGTAAGCCCAAACTAAATCTTTTAAATTATAGCCCACTTAAAAAACCCAATTCTCATTTTTGCTGTCTGACCCAATCAGACAATCTCAAAATCCCAAGTCCCAACCCCGTCACCCCACAAATCGGCAAATCCCAATTCCCTAATCGGCAATCGCCGTCTCCCGGCAATCACCATCTCTCGGTCCTCGCCAATCGACAATCACCATCTGTCGGTTCTGCCGTTCCCAAATCGACGCCCATCTTCTGGAAATCACCAAGTCTCGGTCCTCACCAATCGCCAATCACCATCTCTCGATTCCGGCGTTCCCTAACCAACGCCTATATCTAATCGGAAATCACCATCTCCATTCCAGCGTCACCCATCAGCAATCACCAAGTTTGTTCATTCTTTTTTGTTGCTAATTACTGTATTATTCTTTTAGATGCATTACTCCCATGTCTTATGTTTGTGGACAGATTTTCTTGCTATTACTTTGCTTGAGAAATTTGAGAAATGCTTCAATATTTGTAGTAGGCATTAGGTTTTTAGAATGAAAAGTTCGGTTTTTTCAAACCGATCGAACCCGATCGGTTTTTTCTCGGTTCGGTTTTTTCGGTTCTCGCTTAAATTCGTTTCGGTTCGGTCGGTTATTATGAGCCCTTTTAATTTTCGGTTATTTCGGTTTTAGGCTGAAACCGGCCAAACCGAACCGATGCTCTCCCCTACATATGGTGCTAATGTAGGGTCATTAACACTCACTCGACTCAATTAATTGTTGTGACTTTAACGTTATGATGAGTAGTACAGACGCGATGAACACATATAAATTTATGAGTTATTGTTAATACGTTTTTTTGGATAAAGTTATTTTGGAGCTTATCAAGAAAGTTTAATAAAAAAAGTTGTAAACTACAAGAATGATTATGTGATAGAATTTAGGATGGAGAGAGGGTTACTGGATTGAGCAATAAGATACTTGGATTGAACCACATTAAGGGATTGAACCTAATCGCTAAATTAGTTTAACTCAAAAGCTTATATATCGGTTATTTTACTCTTGGACTTCTGATGTGGCATGACCCTCCAACAATGTTATGCGAAAAATATGAAAAGATTCTATATATAGGTAAAATGTAAGTAGACGTGCATGTTGCACGAAACATTAGTCTTATCATGGTATATTCAAATGTTTGGCTTAAGTGTTGAAATGTTTGCAACAATCTTAAATGAATTTGCAGTTTTTTTTGCGTGAATTGTTGCGTTTGATCGTGGATCGTTTGAATGTAAGTTAAAACTTTCGAATGTATCTCTCTTTTTGTAAAGGTGCTAGAGTTTTGAATGTTCCTTATTTATTTATTTATTTACAAAAACCCAAAGAATTTTCATAAACAATATTCAAGGGGGTTGTCGCAGCAACAAAATTCAAAAGGGAAGATTTCTTGTTTAGGTCAATTGAAAATCACAAAACACCTCTTAACTTGTTTACATCTATTCAAATCTTTGTGCACTAAAACTACCAAAACTTGTTATATATGAGTAAGAAACACTCATAATAAACTTTAGGCTTGAATATATAATGTAACCGGTTGGAGATGGCCTGAGAATATGTAACCTTTATTTTAAGAAACTTAGAAAAATAGAATACTTTGTATAAAGTTTAACGGTGTTTTCGGATTGGGGAGAATAAAGGGAAAGGGAAGATTACAGGAGAGAGCTTATTCATAGCAAATTGTGGGTGAGGGAAAGGGAGGTAGGATATGAGGCCCTCCATTTCCCTCAAAGTTGATTCTTCCATCGGAGTCATTTGGGATGAAAGGAAGGAAGACAATCGAAGCTCCAATCCTCAAACCCAACCCATCATTGTCTCTCTCATCCTCGACTCTCCCTCTGTGTGTCGTTGAAAAAGAAGAAAAAAAAGATATTTTGCAAGGAGTTGCAAGAAATTTGGAGGAAAGAGGAAGAAAGGAAGATGTGGAGAGGATCACACAAAAATCGAAAGACGAGACGATTTGGAAGAAAAAACTAAATTCACTACTACGTAATATTTTGTTGTGGTACAAACTCCAAGGTGTTTTTACCTAATGACGGGAGTCTTAACATAATGATTGAGTTGCTCCTTTGATAACCAAAAATTAAAGACTGAACAACTGCCAAAAACAGTTGAGCTGGAGGTCTCGTGAAAACAGTCTTCGTCAAAACAATCTCTCTACTTTTGAGTATGGGTAAAGTCACCTCCACAAACACTACGCCCGTAGGATTCTATTGGGTGTTCTTGTAACAATTGCGAAAACAGCCTCATAGTTCACCAACCTCGCAAAGTGGAGAGTAAGATAAACAGAACACATATATGTAGTTATAATTCTACTGAATAACTTGAAAAGTGTGCGCGTGTGTGAGAGAGAATATATTTCATACTCCGTTTCATTAACGGACAGCCTTTTAGTACAACTATCTACTAACATTCCAAATATGGATAGAAAAGATGCCAAATTAACTGATCGTTAACTACTGCATGGTCATTACATGCTGGTAAATCCAAAGCACACAGCTGGTACAATTCAGTACTTAAACATGTTCAAAAAATAAGCATTTTTTCATTTTCGGTTGCATCTTTCAAGAAAACCAAACAAACACAGAAAAAATAATGTTTCTTACCAGTTCTATTCTTTGCCTCGCATTTTCCATGGTCCAAACATACCGTACTAATTTGGTGAGGCTTGGATTGACTGCTGAATAGAGATGGTATGCACCCCCATGGCTGCAAATAACCAGGGAAAATTCCAGCTTGCCATGCCAATGTATGGACTGGGTCATCCCCAATGTCCCATATTCTGTAGCCAAAAAATGAGAGTGAAGCAAAGCAAATGATCATCACAGTCTCGTTACAGATTCTCAGATATAGGACAACTGAGAAAGAAGCTTTGTCACCAGGCCAGAGCGCTGGTGGCCAAAGGTTGTTCTAACGCTGCCATGCCTTCAAAGATATGCCTATTAGCACGCCTGACCTCCAAGTTACGGCTTGGATTAAGCAAATCTCGATCAATATGTATAAATCATAGTTTTAGATGAAGACATACTCTAACTTTTCAGTTCAATCAACTAGATATTCAAGCCACTATTTTATCAAAAGGAATTAGATGAAGACATACTACTGCACAAAAAAGTTTTATTTGGTGAGAATACAAACAAACACAGTTATTCTTTGGGTTGAAAGACTCAGTTCTTTTGCATTCTAACCAAGAAAATGATCTAATCTGCAAGGATGCGGCCATAGGCCTCCTTGAAATGAAGGTACAAAATAGAATGACCATCTCAGAATCCATAGTTTTCACGAAGTAATGTTCTTTTCCACTGAAAATACAATGAAAAATGGCAACAAAATGGGAAGTAAATTTTAAAAGGTCAGAGTTCAATATCAAGCAGTATCAAAAGAGTGTATGAGGCTCAGATTTGAGTGCTGGGGATGATTGTTCCGAGTTCCGACACGCAATGGCTGCAGAATGCTAGTTGGCATGCCTGCCCCGCCACATTACAGTATGCATTGACCCAATCCTAATCAATTGGGTCAGCGACAAAGTGAACATTTTCATCATAGCCTCAGGATACAGGTGTACAACGTATAAGAGAAAAAAGAGCGGAAGATCATTATTATTATTATCGTTGTTGTTGTTGTTGAAATCATTATCATAATCATCATCATCACACATGGAAAACAGGAAGCATCAGAACAACAGAACCTGAAGTACGTCTTCCAATCCACGAAAGGGCTGTTAATTTTTGGAGATGAAATCAATGGCATAGCAGAGAGGGTCAACCGCCCTTCAAGAAACCAAAGTCTCTCTGCAAACCTCATTCATTGTTCATTTCTTCTTCGACCAAAACTCCAAATGGTAAGGGGGTGTTTGGTTTAAGGAGGAGAGGGGGTAATGAAGGCTGAGAAGTTAAATACTCCGTATATACGGAGTAATAATTGTAAGAAACTATGGAGGCTCAGATCCTTAAATGTTAGAGGGTGAAAGAAAAAAGACCGCCATGGCTGCATTTCTCAGTTTCATCTGCATTTGCCCTGCCAAGATACGGCACAGATTTCATCTACCCATAAAACTCTATGCAGTCATCATCACAGCCTACCAAAATGTTTAGGCCTTTAAAGGAACTCTCAATCTCTCTTCTGCCTCAATACCTTCTGGGCTACCAGTTGAAGATTCATATTCATCATCCGTCATATTCCCAACTAGTAGCTGTCAGTCCAATGAAATTTATAGTTTCAATTAAGGTTAATAAATAGTAAATTCATGCAAAAAAGCATGGGAAAATGTTTTACGTGGTAGGCCCTTCCCATCACAATCGTCATTTAAAAAAAGAGATGAGATTCTAAATCAATCATGGGTTTGATGCCTTCAATCAAAAGCATCAGCAATAGATTCTACCTCCTGCACCAGCACCAACCATAGTGGTACATCAAAACCAATTGTCTAAATATCATCTTAAAGAATCAAGAATGCATCCAAAAACCAATATTTGGCAAATAACTTGAATAACCACAAACAGGAAACCATGCATAAAAGGGCCCTATGCTTTCTGAAAAGACTAAAGCATGAAAGGGAGATAACATTATGATTGAGGAAAGGAAGCAATGAGTCTAAAATACTTAATCTACTTAAGAATTCAAAATTTATACCATAATGAAGGGTTTCTTCTTTTAGACTGAAATTTACAATAAGGGGCTTTTAAATAGCACTTATCTAAAATTTATAATAAGGGGCTGTTGAATTTACAATGGTACTGAACTAAAATGAACTTAATGGTGCTGAAGTGATTGTAGTGTAACCTTGAACTAAGCACTACTGAACACTACTGATAATAAGGGGGTGTTTGTTTTTTCTGCAGGAAAAGGTCTGTAGTCTGCGGACCATTACTGTAGACATCTGCAGGAGAAGTGGTGGACCGAAGGTCTGCGGTCTGCAAGAAGAAGACTGTTTGTTTTTTAATGTCTGTAGACTGCTATATAATTTAATGATGGTGGTGTATGGTGGTGGTGTATGGACGATTGTGGTGGTGGTGTACGGTGGTGGTGGACGTTGACGGC